AGGGTGGTGGGCTAGCCCGGGGAGGGGAGGTGTAGGGAAGGAATGGCATTGGGTTTTTCTGGGTGTTCCTACTCCACCCTGTACCCCGTGTCTGAGCTGCCCACCTCCAACCTCATCTTCCTGAAGCCTGCTCCAGACTTGGCCCCCTCCCCAAGCCCCACTTGAACCTCTCTCACCAGCAGTGAAATTCTGGGCTTCTGAGCCTGTCCATTTACTGTCTGTGTCTCCTGCCTGCTGTCCTGCATACACGGCGTCCCCAGCACCCAGCCTGGTATACAGCAGGTGCTCAATCAACACCAGCAAAAGCTGATGGGCCCTCCTTCCCGGCCAGAGCTGCTAACCGCTCGCCCGAGCCCCATGAGGGGGGACGCCGAGTACTCCTTGTCTAGGGACCGGGAAATCAAGTTGGGGGCCGGCTTGCCTGCTCTCAGGCCCTCATGACACCCTCCACGTCTGGGGCCCTGGCCCTGGGGTCCCCTGAAGCCTGACATTCTGGAAACACCTCCCACCACCTTTGGCCGCTTCCCAGCCTTTCCCAGGTTGCAAATCCCCTAATAAGTCCAGGAGAGCCTGGGGGGCTGGAGGAAGACGGACCTCAGACCTGCCACCCTGCCCCAATTCCACTTTTCAGCCCAAGACAGAGAGAAAAAAGCAACGCTGACTGTCAAGTGCACACACAGCCCCAGAAAGGAGCCAGGAGCCTCTGCCCTTCCCCACTGAACGGCACTGAAAGACCCTCAGAAGATCCTGCCCCGGCTGCCCGCGCCCTCCTGCCCCCCAGGAGCAGGATGTTTACAGAAGGAGCCGGTCCTGAGGACTGCCGGGCAGCGGCCAGATAAGGAAGCGGGGGAGGTCGTCAAGGAAACAGCAGGGAGGGGGTGCAGGCGGGACCCCTCCTCTCATTCCCAGCCCCCAGGCTGTTCCGAGAGAAACCTAGTTGGGGGTTTTCACTTTGTGACGTGGGGAAAAGAAACTACCTTCCCTCCGCCAGGAGCAAAGGAGGAGGTGGGCTTGTGGGATGCAGAACATGGTGTCCAGGAGCGAGCATGGGGGGGTATGACAGATTCTCAGCCCCAAAGGCCCCCAGTTACCCAGGGGAGGGTCCAAGAAGACAGCAGGGAAGAGGGGGCCTTGAGGCTGGGTTTTGAGGGATGCATAGGAGTTTGCTGGTTCCTGCCCTCCAGGAACACCCAGCTTTAGGAGGGAATAGGGCTGGCTGCACACAGATCGTCATGGGCCTGTGTGGCGAGGGGCTAGACTCACACGTCTGGACCCCCAGCCTCACCCACCTACAGGGGCAGCTCACCATGCTACCTAAGTACCTCCCGGGCCCAGCAAAATGGGTGAGCTGTGGGGCTGGGAGCTTGGAGCCCTACAGCAGAGCAGTGCAGGGGCTCGGGTAGGTGTGTACGGACGGTAAGAGAGTCGGGGAGATCTCTCCGGCCACATGAGGGACAGCAGGCCCTGGTCAGGGCTGCCCTTGGAGGATAACACGGGAGGGACTCCCACCCGGCACGGGAGGGGTTAACTCAGAGGCCGCTGGGCAGTGGGGGTCCTTCCCTTCCGGTGGCTGGCGGCTGGCAGGGTCTGGCGGGGCCTGTGTTTACAGAAGCCAAGGGAGGGGCGGGCACAGGCCTGGACAAAGCCGGCAGCTGGGCCGGGCCGTCCCTACGAGGCCCCTAGCAAGCAGCAGCCCCAGCCCTGCAGCCCGACCGGCTCCTCCTGCTCCGCCCCTTCCTGCCTCTCTGAGCTCCGAGGCCTCCTCCCGGCCCTGAGTATTGCCAGGAGGTTGGAGGGGTGGCACTCCCAGGACCACATTCAGCTGACAAGGACTCAGGGGACGTGAGGGAGGTCCTAACCCTGCTCTCCCTGGCTGAGAGCCAGGCTTCCCCTCCCCCAATCTGAGCCAGGCTCATCCCAAGTGGGAGGGATGGCCCTGGGTCTGTCCCGTGTCTGAGCACCTGGACACCTGCCCAGACCTGTCCTCAGCCGGCCCCCCCTCGGCATGCCTGGTCATCTCTCTTCCCAAGGCCTCGGTCGCGAGACGCTTCCCAGTGGGCTGTGTCTTGTACCCGTCTCACCCCGGACCAGGAGCGATCGAGGGCAGGGTCAGGCCACAGAGGGGGCATACTGTTGGCGCTCAATAAATGTGCACGGCACACCAGTAACTCTGTATTCAGCGCATCTGGGGCGCCTGCCGACCGCTGAGTTTTGGGAGGCTGCCGCACAGGAGGTGCTGTTTGTAGCCCGTCTTACAGATGGGGAAACTGAGGCTCCCCCCATGGTGGGAGCAGGTCAGGGGCCGGGACTCTATCTCAAATCAGCAGCTGAAGGATATGTCCCCCCAGAGCCCACCTGCCCATCAGGGACCTGACTCCGTGTCACAAGCACAGAGGCCAGCCCCGCCCCCATCACCTGCCGTCCCTACTGTGGGGGGACCCCCATAGTACCCTGGGTCTTGAAGGAGGGAGCCTGGGCTGTCAGTCAGGGGCTGGGGCCTGGAGACCCTCCCAAGAGACCCACCTCGCAGACTCACAGCCGTGCCTTCCCCATCAGGCCCCCTCAGCGGGGGGCGCCTCCAGATGCAGGGAGTCCTCTGCCGCCCTCAGGCGCCCCCCACCTCCCGTGACCTGGGGGGCTCACCTCGCTTCTGCATGAAGCTGAACAAGTCGTCCAGGAATTCCTTCCTTTTGGGGTCCCCGTCGAGCTCGTAAAGCTGGGAGGGTAGAGAGAGGCCAGGTTAGTGGGTGCCAGAGCTGGGGGATGAAAATCACATCCCACCGTAACAGGGGCCAGGCCGACAGGGACAGCAACCAGAGGTGCCAACACTCAGTCCCCCCTGTGAGCTGTCACCAGCATTCAAACATCTCCTGAGGCCCCAGCAGGCAGAGAATGGACCTGACCCTGCACCCCAGTTGGGGACCCGGAGCTGCCCTAACATAGCACCACAGACCGGGTGGCTTAAAACGATGAAGACTTATTCTTTCACATTCCGGAGGCCAGAAGTCTGACATCGGGGTGTGGCAGGGACGTGCTCTCTCTCTGGAGGCTCCAGGGGAGGACTTTCCTGCCCCTTCCAGCTCCTGGAGCTGGCGGCTCCCTGGGTTTGTGGCCATGTCCCTCCAGTCTCTGCCGCCATCGTCACATGGCTCTATATTCTTTCTGTCTTTTCTACGCTCACCAGGCCCCTGGATTTAGGGCTCCTAGCCTCATCTCAGTCCTTAACTAATTACATCTGTAAAGACTCCATTTCCAAATAAGGTCCCTTTCATGGGAACCGGGGGTCAGGACCTCAACGTGCCTTTTTGGGAGATATTACTCAACCCCTGCCCATGCTGACACAGCAAATAATTTCTACAATGGCCACGACAGATGCCTCCCGGGGCTGTCCTGAGAGTCACATGCAAAGGCATCTGCTCCCGAGAGATGGCTCCATTTTGCAGATGAGGAAACTGAGGCACAGCAGCAGGTGGGAGACCACAGCCTGGGACTGTTGGGGACACTCAGCCCAAACCTTCCCGGCTCCCGTGCCATGCCACCCTGACTCCCCTGGCACCAATGACAGCTTCTGCCTGCTGGGGTTACGGCCAGGGAACAACGAGGTCACAACGCATGCCTGGTACTGTCATCGCAGGAGGGGAAAGGGTCTCTATCTGGGGGTGGGGGACAGGAGGTCCCTCGCCCCGCAGATGGTCAGCTCACAGTTTCCGGTGGGCGGGCAGAGGCCTGCAGGGCGGGGGGAAGAGATAATTAGAAAGCGCGGTGCAGGCAGGGGCCGATCTGCCGAGGAGGGGCGGCCCAAATACCAGCCTTCAAATGATTAAGCTCCAGGGGACGCAGCTGGCCGGGCCGTGGGGGGCCTTGAAACCACCAATTAGGCCTCCTCGGGGCTGATTCGTCATGAGGGCCCAAGAACGTGGCCAGGCCCTGCTCTGGCTGGTGGGGACATCCCCGGGTCCTGGGGAGGCAGATAGAGGACGTGGCCACCCCTCAACCGCATCCTGACCCTCTCTGGGCCTCAGTTTCCCCATCTGCATTGTGGAGACAAAGTGGGGCCTTCCAGAGAGCTGCTGGGGGAGCCAGGCGCCCAGACCTCTGCCCTGGGTGGTCTAGGCTGAGCAGAGGGTGAGCTGCCGGCCTTTGTCTCTGCCCCACCCTGGCCAGTGCAGACTGGCCGGCCTGCATTCCTGCACTGATTTATGGTGGCCAGGGAGGCCCGAGTTTCCCCTTCAGCTGCCGGAGGGTGTGGGGCCTGCAGGTAGACCCGGCTGGGCGGCTGGACCGTCCTGCGGGTGTGAGCAGACACACACGCACGCAGCCCCAGGCGGGCCTTGTCACCCTCTGACCCCTGCCCCAGGCCCAGCTCATCCTGCCTGCATGCCCCCCTCAGGGAATCCCTCCCCTCCACTACAATCCTCCAAGGTCCTTTCCATCACCTGAGCCAATCGATTTACTTATTTTTCTGGGTTTTTGTCTGTTCTGCTCACAGCGTCTAGAATCAGAGCATGCAGCAGTTAACAAATGCTCGTGAAATGAACCTTGAGATTCTCAGCTGCAACGTGGGCCAGGCTGGGCAGACAGCAACACAGCAGACTCATGGTGGGAGTTGCCTGAGATGGCTGGTGCCCGGGTCAAAGAGGATTTTGTCCTTGGGGCTGTACTGGGGTGAATGGTATCCCCCCAAATTCAAGTCCATCCGGAACTTCAGAATGGGACCTTATTTGAGGGGCCGGCCCGTGGCTCACTCGGGAGAGTGTGGTGCTGATAACACCAAGGCCACGGGTTCGGATCTTATATAGGAATGGCCGGTTAGCTCACTGGGTGAGCGTGGTGCTGACGACACCAAGTCAAGGGTTGAGATCCCCTTACCGGTCATCTTTTAAAAAAAAAAAAAAAGAATGGGACCTTACTTGCAAAGAGAGGGCCTTTGCAGATGTAATTAGTGAAAATCACGTCATATTGGGGTAGGGTGGGCCCCACATCCGAGGACAGGCGTCCTTATAAGAAGAAGAAACACACAGAGAGAAGCCACATGAAGACAGAGGCAGAGACTGGAGAGATGTGGCCACAAGCCCAGGGACGCCTGAAGCCCTAGAGGCTGGAAGGGGCAGGAAGGACCGTCCCCTGCAGCCTCTGGAGGGAGTGCAGCCCTGCCACGCCTGGATCTCAGACTCTGGGCTCCAGAACTGGGAGAGGATAAACTCTGGTTTTAAGCCACCTAGTTGTGGTTGTTTGTTATAGATCCCCAGCGGCCAGCACACCTCAGGCCCTTCCTGGGCGAGGGGGAAAATCTCCGAGATTCTGAGCCAGGTGAAGTGGGGAACGTCCACCCCATCCCCCACAAGAGACCTCACAGTCGCTCCTGCCTCCGTTTCCCCATCTTTCAGGAAAGTGCGATGAAACACAACTGCTTTAACCCTGAGTACCTGGAACCATGGTGACCCCCATATCCCAGGTGGGGAAACTGAGGCTCAGAGCAGAGAACAGCTGGCCCATGACAGAGGACCAGGAAAGGTGGGAGGAGAGTTGGGGGGTGTTAACCCTCAGGCCAAATGGTGGTCTACCAGGCCGGCGGCGAGGCATGGCCAGACCCCTGTGGGGCCATAAAGTGGGGACGTTCAGGGCCCCCCAGCTGTCGGTGGCCGCGGAGGCTTTAATGGCCGTTGCTGTGGGCAGCTAACAACAAAGGCGGGCAGTAAAGGCCTCCCCAGCTTTATGGGGCTCTGGCCCCTAGTTCCGCTCCCCTGTGGGGTGCATCCCGCCCTGGCCAGCTGGGGATGGGGGAGCAGGGACAGTGTCTAGGCTCCCCATGGCGGTGTCCAGGCCCCCTTTGTGAGCCACAAAACTTCCTCTACCAAACCCACCCGGGTTCTCAGGCTGAAACCATGCCCCTCTCAAAAGTGGACGAGAAAGCTCCAAAATGGGCACCCACAGGACCCCAGAGCTACAAACCCAGGCTGGAGATGGGGCAAAACCTCCAAAACCCGCTTCTGAGGGCTGAGGGTAAGAAAGGCTGCCACACCTGCCCCTCCTGATTCCCCGGGGTCTGAACTAGGGTCTCCCTCTCTGGCCCGGCCTCCCCCTTCTCCCAGCACCCCACCCCTCACCGGCCAAGCACGGTCCCACCTCCGAGCCTTCGTCCTGGCTGTTCCTCTTGCCTGGAATGCCCTTCCCAGTGCCTTCCCCAGCTGGCTTCCCCTCCATTCAGGTCTTAGCTCAAATGTCCCTCCCTGCAAGGGCCCCCCGACCTTCCTGGAGAGGAGCCCCACTCTCTCACTACGGCTGTGGCCGCCCCCACCCCTGGGGATGCCCTCAGGTCTCACTTGCAACACAGTCACTGATTGTCACCGATCCTCTGGCTGATAACACTCCCCCCCCCACACACCGCTCTGTCCCAATCCGGGCTGTGTAGATTTTTACAAATTTGTCTGGTTTCTTGTCTGTTTTCCCCAGAACATGAGGGATTTTTTGTGTGTTTTGTTCCGAGAGTCAAAAATCGGGCCAAGCACACAGTGGTTACTTCATAAATGCATGTTCAGCAAACTCAGCCTCTCAGTTTTGTGTGTCCTTTTCTAACCCGCAATGCCTGTGCTTTGGGCGAGCTCAGTCCCACCGTCCCTGGGAGCCTGACCATGCTGGGTCCTCATCCTGACCCTTACACTTCCTTCTGTGTGGACGTGGCCCCCCGCCCTCTCCAGGTGCAGAACCTCAAGTGGGGGAGGTCGTTAACTGGGATGGAGGCATCCAGCAGGTGCTCAATAAGGGCACATCGCAAGTCTGCATTTTCCCCCTGAGAAGTGGGACAGCTGCGCCCCTTCCAGGCTCCCCATAGGGCAGGGTTGTGGGGGCACACCCGGCTCCAGCCACACAGGGACCCCTCTGGCCTGTTTCAGCTCTGGGGGGGGGTCTTACTCCATGCCTGCCCACCCTGGGATGGAGGGTGTCATTCGCTAATTACCAAGGTTGGGCTGACCGTGTATGTCTCCCCATTCCCAGCACCACCCACTTTGCAGAAGGGGAAACTGAGGCACAGAGCCGGTGAACCCCAGCCACTTCTCTCACCTCTCTTCTCCACTCAGCAGCCAGAAGGGTCTTTCTCAGCAGTCTGAGCATGACCCTCCCCTGCTCTACAGCCTCCCATGGCTCCCCAGTACCCTCACACGGCCAGTCACTTCCCTGCCCGCCCATCCGCACGTCGTCCCTCACCCCGCTGCCCTGGCTTCCTCTGCTCCAGCCACGTGGGCCTTCTGGCTGCTTTTTGAGCAAAATGCACACGATCCCACCCCAGAGGCTTTGCACGGACCCTTCCCTCTGCCTGGAATGCAGTTCCTGAGATCTCCCAATGACTCCCTCCTTCCCACCCAAGCACCACCTTCTCAGAGAACCCCCCCGCTGCTCCTCACCCTCTGACCCATCACCCTGCTCTCTCCTTGCCAGCAGGGGACGCTCAGTGAGTGAATGAAACACGGGGTCCCTGACCCTCCCTGGCTCCGGACACACAGGGTAACTGAGGAACAGCACAGTGGAGTGGGGGGAGGCCAGGGGTGGGGGTGGAAGGTGCTGGGCCCCCACCTGCTGAGGGATGGCTGGGTCCCCTCCGAGATAAGGCCAGGAAGGCGCCCAGGGCTCAGGTCGGGGCCCTGGGGTGGGGGAGGGGAGAGGAAAACTGAGATAACCACCCCCACCCTCACCCCCGGCCCCGGCCCGATGGGCAAA